AACGAGGCTTCTGGTGAAACAGAGTGAAGAGGATTGACTGGACACCCCATGATTAAGCTTTGATTGACTTTTGTGATCTTTTGCAAAGCCAGATGGGGTATTGTTCAGAGTACATTTCTAAACAGCTCGCTTTATACGACTAATATAACCTGCTCCACATGAGCAAGTAAGCCGTTGGCTTATAGCTATTTATTAACTTAACATATTTCTGAAGTTATTTGTTGCTGTTTTGTGGTACTTCATATATGATAGTTGTTTTTCGTATATTGTTCAAAACATTGATTTATTCCGAAATTTTTGAAGTTTAAATCTATTACGTCATCTCGATTTTTTTTCTTATTAACGATGGGTTCTAAAATTTAAGGACCAAATGTTCACACAGTAATAATGTCATGTATAAAGCAAACGCTCTCAACTTCCTAATTAAATATTTCAATGTGATTAACTCTGAAAAAATAGTAATAAGTAGAAAAGGCCATTTTACCTGTGCAGTCAGCTCTAGCTTATGTATTAATGTATATTTAAATAATTTGAAATGATTCCTTTTGCAACCAATTCTAGACTGATAGCATATACCTTACTTATGCAGAGTGAAATTGAATATGACCTATTCATTAAATAATAATTTAGTGGTTTAAATACAACCTACCCTTTACTGAACTTCGATTCAGATGCTGAAAGATAAAATAGTCTTATGAAGATTATTTTTGATTGTTGGTTGATGGATTGATCTCAATCAAAATCAACTAAAAAAATCAATAGACTCACTAATCAATTCATTCGATTATTAATTAAATAATTGACCGTATTTGTAAAGGTCAAAAATTAAAAACCAGATTTTCATCATATCAATGTTTATTACGTGACATAATTATTGTTAAATTGACGATAATTATACAACATTCTTTAGATCATTCATATTTCACCTGATCTAATTTGAGTCTTTTAAAAAGAAGAAACAATTGGATTGGTTGAAGTTAAACATTAACACCATTGGATGCCAGCTCAGTGGTCTAGAGGTTAAGCGATCGCGCGTAAGATCCCGATAGGTCTCGGGTTTGAACCCCGTTGGACGTGGTCTTGGGTGTGCACTGCCGAGGAGTCCCATACTAGGACGAAACGGTCGTCTATTGCTTTCAGGTTTCCCATGGTGGTCTAGCTTTAACTGACTTATGGATTCAACTATTAAATTACTAAAATTTTCACAAAACCATCTTTGATAATTTGTTATCCATTTGTTACTTGCATCAGTAAATTGTCTTCTAATTTATTTTTAATTTAATAAATGTCAAAAAAGAATTTTATTGCTCTTAAACTAATAGACAATTATTATGAGGAAGTGACGACATTGAAAAATATATCCAAAGTTTTCATTCTTTTCTGTGTATTAATGTGCATATGTATGCATACATGGATTGATGTGTATACATGGGCGGATACGCTAATATATATATACGGTTACATATATTCAAATACCTATATACTAATATATAGATGTTGAATGTATCCATATCTTGTTTGACATTATCATCATCTTAATTAAATATATTTATTTAAATATATATTTTGTAATTAAAGCATTGCATGACAATGTTAGGTTGTGCTTTCATTTTGCTAAACTTTTGTTTTAGGATGGTAAATTCATTTTAATCGATAATGTTAGTTGTACTTGTTTAACAATAGTGAATGAATTAAAGCGATATTATTAATATCAGTTCAATGTAATGCAAGTGTATCACTATATATACACATCAGTAATTACTTGATATTTCTTTCACCTTTATAAATATTTAGTAATTAAACTAAACACAAATACTAAAACATTGATTTTAGTTGAAGAATCATTTAATTTCAAGAAACACTAAATAGTTATTTCATCTCAATTTAAGGTTATTTACCTGTCACCATAGACAACATTCCTAAGGATCGAATTCGAAACATGAATTTATGTTCATTTCTATATTAAAAGTTAGAATTGAATTTATTAATAAGACTAATATTAAGTGTTTTATTGACAGATAATTTATGTTATAACCTGACATCAATTAGTTACATAATCTATTTCATTATTATCATTGACTCACAAATTACATTGATTATTTTGATATTTTTCATAGATGTATCTAAACTTAACTGAATTAGGATCCAATTATGGTGTCCTATTTGTTACCGGGTAGATAAATATCATTATAACTATTCCGTTCGTTTAAATTTCTTATATCTTTGTAGTACATAGTAAAAATAATCATAATGATTACCATGATATTCTTTAAATTATTTTACTATTTTATTTCAATTATATTCAAATTTAATTTTCTATGATTATCTTTATAATCCCATGAGTATATATAATTACAAAAAATATTCTAATAAACTAGTCAAAGAAAAAAAAAGAAAATTACTGAAACAAGACTTCTTCATATTGTATCTCATTTCTCTTGTATCATTGACTTTATTTTTTTTTCTGACAAAGAAATATTTACTTGCTCATTGTATAATTTGATATCAATACATGAGTGTGTAGTTATCATGTTTCACGTGTGTAAATATGGATACAATATGAGTATTGGATTATCGAATAGATTATTGTTAATCAGTCAATCTCTAATATATATATATATATATATATATATATATATATATATATATATACAAGCGGCTGGGTGTGTGTATTACCTGAGAATGAAACTAGTTTTGGTCTAAATTCAACTTTTTTAGTTTGTGTGTTTTTTAGAAACTTCAGTGCTCAATAAAATTGACGAGGTATTCATAAAATTTCTACCCGTGTTCATATTTATTTTTGTTACAAACAGCAACATACAGTATTTTCATTGGACTTACTCCCTGTTTGACTGTATATATGTATATATATATATGTATATGAAGGTAGCTTCACATTGTATTCCTATATTTACTCAGATATGACTAGTTTATCTGAACATAATGCCAAATTTTGTGGATAAAAATTTCCTATTCCAAACATACATGTATACTGTATGTATATATTTATGTGTAATATGATGTGTATGTTTGTCTGCATACATAGATGAATGACAAGTGAGAATAGTAAATTTAAAAATAACAGACAGACATGTTTGTATGCGTTTATTGATCTAAAAGATTCCTACTCACCCACTTACTCAGTTTATCCAGCTCTACCCTTCAACTAGATTGGCTGTCAACCCCACTACAAAATAAATCGATTAATTATAGTCTCAGTGAATGCCCACTAAAAGTTACTACTACCACCACTATGATTATTACTTCTATTGCATCAAATATTAGGAATTATTATTACAATCATTTTATTTAATGTTACCGGAAGAGCAGTAAAACAACATGGAAAAAAAAACATGGATCAATTTACTTACACGTGTATTACCTGTCTATGAATGACAGAGTATTTTATAAAGCAGTAAACGACAGCTGTAACAGTTAACATAAGCGAAATCCGAAATCTTCTTATCTATATATTGAATTTTCATTTATAATCAATGTAATTATATTTCCAATTGAATCTAATTATAATAAGCAAAAACTTTATTCATGCATGGAATTAATATATTAATATCTTATTCATTTTATTCTAATTATTTCGAAAAAGAGAAAAGCACTATACAATCCAAAATCAAACTTATATTCTGTGGATCGTTTTAAAGAGAGGAAAAAAGACCATTATTACTTTTGTCAAATAGAGAAAGATCATATTTTTAAAAAAAAACAGAAAGAAAGAAAAAAGAGAAAAAAAACATGATTTAAATTTCTTGTAACTTATTAATCACCATGACAACAAATCATATAAATAATCAAAGTGAAGAATAAATTTTTTTTTACAAAAAAAATTCTTTTTAAGATCAATTGAAATTTAATGGCTAAATGTTTGTCGATTTTCTACAAAATAACCTTTCGTTGTGATGATGATAATAATAAGAATAAGAATAATCATAAATGGATTAGACATGAAAAAAGAACAATAAACTTATTCATAAACAAGAAAGACTTCATTTACTTAATAGAATGTTTAAGTTGGTATTTATTCAGTGTTATTATTTATCTCAGTGGTCTGTATCTATCTCCATCTGTTCATTTTATTGTGATTATTATTTTAATTGTTCTTATTGTTATCAATATTTTATTGATTATTTTCAAATAAAAATTGTTCAGAATTTAAAATTAAATATAAACATATTTTACTATCAAATCAATAATTACTACAATCATAATTCATTCATAATTGAATCTATAAAACAACAATTGCAAAGTATTTCTAATCAATTAAAGAATTCTTGGAAGTTTAAAAATTGCACGTACAAATTTCTTAAATTATTGAATATTGGAAATATAAATATCAATATAATCGATCAATTATCATTGAATAACAATCTTCATAACATTGTTAAATATAGTAATATTTTCTTTATAGATCAAATAATACAATATAATACAAGTAAGTTTATTCTATATAATCAGCTCCATTTGGAGCATCAGATGGCTGAAGAATCTGTAGACAGTGGAATTTCAAGCGAACTATACACTATAAAATCTGATCCAACCTCTTGTAACTTAAATATTGAGTTACAACAATTAGAGGGGAATAAAAATATTCACAATTTAGCATTAGTCCAATCTGTGAACAATTTTATTCATAATCCTTGTCATAATCAATTCTATATAGAATGTACCAAAACAAACAGTCATGTAGGATTTTTTCAAAATGGACTTTATAAAAATTCAAACTTAGATTATGATCGTTTTTTACATTCTGTTGATCAAAATTATACAGTTAATAATCCTAAATTAAATAAAAAGCAAATATTAAATAAATTAAAAAAATCAATACTAGTTCATTTGATTCTGCCTTTGAAACAAGCTCTGAATCGACATTATCACTTATATCAAATTTATCTGGATCTTATCAAAAATTAAATTGTTCAATAAAACCTAAATATTCTTCAAATTTCAATAATTTTAATAACTTTATTGGACAAGTGAATAAAAATATGACAGAAGATCCTAATAAATCAATTATTCAAGATTTTTATACATGTGATAAACAAACAAATAGATATAATATGAATGAAGGTAAAACTTTAAATCCTCGTGTACATTTTGTCCCAGAAGAAGGAGTAAATACATCTAACTTACCTGGACCAAGTCGACCAACTTCAGATTATACTTTAGATTCAACAGGGAATATAAGTGATCAAAACAAAATGTTATCTCATTTACTTTCATCACGTGATTATGTGTATATGCCAACTAATCGTATTGCAACAAGTGGTACATGTAACATTCGTGGTGGACAACTTTTATCTAACTGGCAACGTCAACAACAACCGAATCGGCAACAAGCTCACATTTATGATGCACATCCTGAAAGTTTGATTCATAATTTAAATCAGTTGACTGACAACAGAAGTAGAAATACACCTTATTTTCTACAACAACAACAGCAACAACAACAACAAACAAGTCAAAATCGCGTTCAGGGTGACCAAATATACGATCCTGGAAAGATATCAAATCAATCACAGCAAACACGACTTCAAAACCAACCAAATCAACAGCAAGCAAATTATCAACAGTTAATTTCAGCATTATTAGCCGCTGCTTCTGCTAGTAAATCTCGACTAGAGTCGCAGTCATCACAAACTTCTAATCTTTCACCCATGGGTATAGATACAGTACTGAACCAACAGAAATTTAACACATCTAATCGCTGGTCTGATTCTGAACTAGCAATTAATAATGCTAAAGACATACAATATCAAGTTCAAACGCAACAGATTAGACAACAACAGCAACAACAAGCAACGGCAGCTGCGGCAGCAGCAGCAGCAGCGGCTGCCGCGATGGCTGCATTGCAATGTTCTGCTAAATCTTCAGCTAACATTCCATTAAACATGCAAAGACAAGTTCCTTTCTGTTTGGGAGTGGTAGCAGTAGTAATACGATTCAAAGAAATCCAGCACAATTACGTTCATCTTATTCATCAGGAGATGAATCATCAGCAATGCGAATTATGAATCCAGCATCATTAATCCCACCAATGCAAACATTACGTAGATTTTGTACCCTGATATGAATATAAATGAATCAAATCTATCTCAGACTTTATTATTACCTCAACAACCGTTGAGTACAATGTCTGAAAGTGTCCCACTTTCTGAACAAAACAATAAATTACAACGAGCAACTCAACAGTTGATCACACAATTAAATAAATTTCAAGATTTATCTGTTTCTGGAGATGATTATGCAAATTATCAATGTTTAGAATCTTTATTAGGACAAGCCTCTAGGCAGCCACTAGCACCAGCTCCTTCAGTTCAAATGGAAAATGTTCTTTGTACAGGTAGTTAAGTTGATTTTTTATGTTTGGAATTCAACAAAGGTTCATTTTATATTTTATCTTTAACAAAAGCATGGTACAATAATTTGATCCGGAATTTGTATGGAGCAACCAACGCGTTCTGTGTGGTCAAAAAGTACGGATGTACCCGTTGTCAATACTTCTCTGCTTGATATTAGTTAGTTACGGAAATTATCTCTTAAGCACTCGGTATACCATGGCTTTTATAGAATAATTCTCATTTTAAAAGAGACTTACTATGAAGAATAGAGTTATTTAGGAAATGTAGATAATAATAAAGAGTCTTTCGTTGTCATGCTAGATAGTATCATTAATATAATCTTCAAATAAAGGTTAGCCATCAAAATTTCTCTGCAAATTACTGACAGCCTGTATTGTAAATATTAAGTCTGAATGGTTTTGTTCCTTTCGTTAGTATAGAAATGACTGAAGTGACTTTTTTAACTCAACCCCAAAGCCTATTCTGAACACTTTCAATACTCTAGTTTGTTTGCTGGTATAAAGGAATAATCCGTTTACTGTATGTTATATTTGATCTCGACCTTGTTACCAATTTTACATCAGTTTTCGGATCAACTCCTACTAATGATGTCAAGAAAGTCCACACTAATCGCTATCGTGAGCTGAATATCTTCTCTACCATCTGGAAATCAGTTATTTTGTTTTGATCCCTTACTTTCTGTTATTCCTTCAAAACAGGGATAAATAACGTCTGTTGACATTTGAGTTCACTGTATACGTTCTTGTGAAACATTTTCAAAAGGTCATTGTAATTCCTAAAAATCGGATTGATAAAGCAAATTTGGAAATATTGACGTATTATAAATCAGATGAGTACTTTGGAATCAGTAGTTTATTATTTCACCTTTTTATTCATTCGTTTACACAAACCGGTTACAGGGTAGTTGCTGGTGTCTTTTTGTTTAGTATTTAGTTCTGACTAAATTCTAGAAACTGATTTACAATTTTACTATTAACTAGGTTAAACAACAAGACATCGAATCATATTGCTCGAAGTGTTTCAGTACTCTCAATATTCTAGAAAACTTGAATGATGTCTCTCAGAACGTTGGAAAATATTGGTTTAAAGTTTCTTGTCCACTAGTCAAAAAATATATAATTACCGATTCATGTAAATTCATAGACAATTCAAAGGCAGCTACTGATACTGCTATTTATCTTGTTTAAACCAATAATTACCCTGTGTATTAAAAAACTAGATTTTAATATGATGCATTTAAGCCTACATTACTACTCTTTTTATTTCAATATGTTTTAAGGTAGGGTTAAGGGTGATAGCTCAACACTACCATTTTGCTTAAAAACAAGCCACAGAATGTTTGTGTTACGGATCCCCGAAGAGTTATTACATTTTTAAAACTACATAGTAGAATATTATTGTAATTGGCTCAGTAGCCAGATTATTTCCATTTTAAACTAGGTTGGACGGTTGTTAGTAGTGAAATACATGAAACGCGTTTCTTCCTATTTAGGACTTATATGATGGATTTGCCTGTACCTCAGTGTTAGTGTTTACATCGGAACTCGTTAAGTCACAGTGCATAAAATCACGGTAGATTCAAACAAACAAAACATGTTAGTTAAAATACACACCGTACCACAGGCAATTGACTATCTGGACTCTGTAGGTAAATGAATAATTCATTGGGCATTTGAAGCGATGAGTTCTAGGCCCGAATCCAGGTGTGAGCATCAACACATACAGGCACGCCCGGATGAAGAGTCCCAAATGGGGTGAAATACGTATCGTGAATTTTTCTGCTAGCCATCGTCCTACTCTGTTAGCAGGAGTATATGCATGTGGTCATTTTGGTGGTGAGCTATTAGAAGTAGCCAAAAGTTTTGTGTCTGGATAGCTGTGTGAATGGTGGTGATAGTGTGAGTGATGCAACGAAATGACCTACAGATTTGGTCGTGACAAAATGTCAAACCGAAATAGGCTTAAAGCTACCCAACGACTCAGCGAAACTTCGGGTCTCCGTGTTGGGGATAATAAGAAACTTTTTGTTCAATTATCGTTGTTGCAGAAGGATTGATGATATCCGGTCGCAACATTGTGTTAGTGATGCGCACATTCAGAAGTGTTCGGGCACTGTGATAATAATCCGACCGGTGTCATCATCTTAAAACACCAGCCTCGGTGGCTTGGATAAGCTCTAGGAATGTTATCCTAGCGACTTTTATGTGGTGCCTTAACTGCTGACTCTTGAATTGGTTGGAAAGGCGAAAAGATGGTCAGTTTGTGACAAGATGTCGGAGTATGAAAGAAAGCTGTACTGGAGTAGGATCTGTTGCTCCTTCATGACTCCCTGATTGGATTCTGAAAAACAGTAAAAATTAGTGGCGTGAAACGCTACCACATGTAACTCTTCAGAAAGTGATAAAAACTTTAGCTGAGATATTTCTTCCTGGTTGTATTAGTTCGTAAGAACCTCCTCTCCTACCATTAACTACGATTTTTTATTCACCATTCGATTATTATTATTGCCCGATTCAAGCTATTTACTCCGGCAATTATTATTACAACTATTGGAAAAGTACAAATAAATGGTGACAATAATAACTATAAGTTATAGTTTAAACTAGGCCTGTTAGAACTTGGCTAATTTTATCATGTCTTTAACATCATTATATAAACACTTGCAAACATAATGTATTTTTTGTAATGGAGAAAGTACGAAGTTGATTTTATGCTAAATTTTTTGTAGTGTATTGTGGTTTGTGAAGATTGTTTAATTTTCATAATGAGATAATGAACTGATTTTAATTAAACAACCAATGAAAACTAGGGAGCACTGAAATCTGTTTTGTTCTAATATGAGACTTTTCACCAGTTCGCATTGACGACCCTATAGGGGACTGGACACAGGTCTACAGTCTCACGTACAAACACTTATTCTTCATACTATTGAATATGCCATCCAATGATTTGACTTTCAATTTTATGAGAAATGTTTTCATCTGAAAAAAACGTAATGTAAAGTGTTAATTGATTTTTATTTCTTCTATAAAGTAATAAAGCAATTATTGTGTCCTTATTTGTTTTTTTTTCCTGGAAATAAATGTAGTTTATGTTGTTTCAATAATCAGATCACATGAGGACACGATGAATAATGTTTTTTAAATAAACAATTTTTACTTTTATTAAAAAAAATTAGTTTGAGGCATATACAACTGTGAAATTAATGATCATAGAAAATATACATTATACAATGAATTAAACGGTTCTGTTGTAAAAAAGAAAGATTTTTCACAGATTGAAATCATGAGTCAATTGAAGCTAGATCACCAGAAAAAACCTGGAAGCAATGGACAGTCGTTTCGTCATAGTATGGGACTCCTCAGCAGTGCACACCCACGATCCCGCACCTCACGAGATTCGAACCCAGGGCCTGTCAGTCTCGCGCCAAACGCTTAACCAACTAGACCACTGAGCCGGCATCCAATGGTGTTAATGTCTAACTTCAACCAATCCACGAAGTTGCGCCACCGTATACCATTGTGTTCAGTGAGCTGATATCTCACAATAGACGTGATTGAACTCCACTGGTAATGGCTTCTCACTAGAACTCTAGGAGTATCTCTTGAAGTCAGTCACTAGTGAGCAGATGATTATTATCAGAAGGGGTTTGTGGAGATTTTAGAAATTTCACAGATTGAAATCATGAGTCAATTGAAGCTAGACCACCATGGAAAACCTGGAAGCACTGGATGGCCGTTTCGTCCTAGTATGGGACTCCTCATCATTTTCATTTGTGTTTTTAATACAAATGTCTCATTTATTTATTTGTATAAGTATGATAATGTTTTATATTACTCATAACGATTATAAATAAAATACAAAGAATTAATGATAATTACAAATTATGAGTCAATGGAAGCTAGACCACCATGGAAAACCTGGAAGCACTGGTCTAGCTTCAATTAACTCATGATCCTAACTGTTGAAATTACTACAATCTCCACAGAACCCTTTCTGATGCTAATTACAAATTAGCTAAATGTTGCATTATGTCTATAGATTAAATTCTACCAATCAATTTGCAAGAGTTCTACCTACTACATTCAAATAATTATAATCTAAAACATATGACTTCAAGTTATTTAGACTAGTGGTTATAGTACAACCTAATCTATAGAATTTTATTTTTCTTAAGAACTAGATAATCATGACATTGGTCACTATTCAGTAATCAATTAATATAGAATGGCATATAATATAATTCCATATAAATTGAACTCTGTATGTGTGAAATAGAGTTAACGCATAACAATTTGATGTTTAAATGTGTTTTGACATATCTACATCAAAAGAATCTCTATTATTCAATATATGATTCAACCGTGAATAAACTATAAATAAACTAAACTTGCGTTTTTCGTTATTCATTTTAACTTAACAACACTATTCACATACGATTCATTGGTCTTGAAATCTCTATAATACCATATCTACACCTTGATGATATATCGGATCCATTTTTCTCCTTTTAAATCCGTTCTATATGTCTTAAAATACCTTCATTTTTGAAATAGCTCATTAGTTAACTGATAAGTGACAGTATTTTCTGAATTCAAATTCACGAGTTAAAATCCTCAATTTAGAACCACATTTCTTGGATAGCGTGGTATATTTTTATCGGCTAGTGGATCATAACATTAATGAATTTATACCTGCAAACTATCATACAAACATTTAAAAAAAAACATTTAGATCTCAGATCTTTGTAAATTTATCCAAATGAAAATTATCCATTTTTCTATCTTTTGAAATAATAGCGAATTTCTGCTGACCTACCCTGATACTGACATTTCTTATCATTTATTAACTGTAATTTATTTTTGCGACAGAAAAAGTAAACAATGAAGTACATATGAGTAGAAATATAATCAATTTCTGTAAAGAATAAATAATATCGTATTTGTTTATTGTAGGATCAAAACTGTTTGTTGTGTGCTAA